CTCACGGCGCGAGTCGCCCGGCTACAGCGCAAGACGCTTGCCGAAATTTCACGGCGCGAATCGCCCGGCTACAGCGCAAGACGCTTGCCGATCCTTACGGCGCTTGGCCGCCTGGCACAGGCGCGAGACGCCAGCCAACCTATGGCGCTTGGTCGCCCAGCTCTTTGTTTCAGGTCACACACGGACTGCTACACACGACCAACCTACGCGTGACCACCCGATCCTGGCGTCCCTCGTCGCGGTTAGATTATGGCAGATTATGGCAGAGACAGAATAAAAGTCAAATTAGCCAAAAACACTTACACGCAAACACTTGTAAATAGTCTGTAAATATAACGTTCTAAACATATATTGGAAAGTGTCGCCTACATTTCTAGCCTCCTTTGCGATTCACAAACCTTGGGCCAACTCCTACTCACGCACCAGTAGCAGACTAAGTTAGATATAAGGTAGAATACCGCTCTGAATAAAAGTAGTAGCGCCCATACATATTATGGATATGTTGATTGTGGTGTGACAAATACAAAAGAAGCTGAATCTGACGAGAATCTACCAAAAGCAAGACATGCATGCGTCTTTGTTCTAGTTTGCATGGCAGTTGGAAAATCCCTATTGCATATTATTTGATAAAATCTTTGACTGGTGCAGAAAGAGCAAATATAATTAAAATAGTACTGTCATCGCTACATGAAATAGGTGCCATTATTACTAATATTACTATGGATGGCTGTCCAAGCAATATTACAACAATGCAATGTCAAGGTGCACATATATCTGCAGAAAATCCAAGACCCTACTTTATGCATCCACAAACTAAGGAAAAAGTTTATGTAATGTTAGATGCTTGCCATATGATTAAACTAATTCGAAATGCGTTTGCTAGCTGTAAAAACATGCATGATGGCAATGGAAATAAAATAGAATGGCAATGCATTATAAATTTAGTAGAACTGCAAGAAAAAGGTCACGCTGCAACAAAAATAACCAGGCGTCATTTAAATTGGCAACAAGAAAAAATGAATGTAAACCGGGCTGCTCAAACTTTAAGTACCAGCCCAGCAAACACAGTTATGTAACCGTTATATTGGCGTAATAAAACGAAATGTAACGTGCAATTTCCCACTCATGTGACATTGTGTGGACATAACAGCAATATAACGCATTATATTGAAATTATGTAAAATACTTTAATTTAATGTAACTGCTATATTAATTGCCGAAAATGTATATAACTGCAATATATATACTACCGAAATACTGTTACATATCTAGTATTGAAATAGCCATAATAATGCTCGAAGTTATTTGTATCTATAATAACTGTAAAGTTAAAATTTATATCTTTTATGCAGATACATCTCTAAAATAATTACATGTAGATCTATATAAATGTATTGACAATGAGATGCATCTATACAATAGATATAAATTATAACTCCACAGTTATTATAGATACAAATAACAAATTTTTGATGTTCTAAAGAAAAATAAATATTGAAACATATATTTTTTATTGCATAAATGTTTTTTTATTGATGCACACATTCTTCAAGTTTTTTTCTTTTTTTCAAGCTTTTTTTTGCAGGTTTGAATTGAACATATTATTTATATTAATTAAAAGAGTAGTATACTTAATCGAACATAAAATTAAATAAAAAATATCATATAATTATTAAAATCATATTAAAAAGAATCAAATTTTATGGGTAAAAAATTCAGATAAGCAAATCAATATAATAACTATATAGAAAGATATAAAATAAAAATACACAATTTTACAAAATGCGATTAGAGCTCTTGAAAACATTTCAATCAAACGCACAGATTCTGTAGAAATTTCCACCCATTGTATGTAGCGGCCGCTCTCGGTGGTTGTACAGTGGATGATGATAGAGGCGCGCGAAAATTAGTAATAAAAAGTAATCTTGTAGAAAGACACATTCAAAAATAAGAAATCAATTTTCGAATTATCGCACGTGCGATATTGACGGGCAGCAATGAAAAGCGCGCGCGCGCTCCGCGAAAGTTCTAAACAGAAGTCTGTAAAAAAAGATACAAAAGAAAGAGGTAACGAGTTAAGAAGCATGAGTGAAGGGTGTATTGTGTTATCGCTCGGTCGAGAGAAAGAGAGAGAGAATAGGGAGTGTCGCTTCCGTCGCGGGATATATATTTTTTCTTGGTTCTCGTCGACTTCAGCTTCCTGCTCCTCATCGAATTCTGCGTCCTCGTCCGTGGTAGCCACCTGGTACTGCTGGTACTCGGACACCAAGTCATTCATGTTCGATTCGGCCTCAGTGAATTCCATCTCGTCCATGTCCTCGATACATACCTTTCTGCTAGTTGTATCAAATCTTTTCTATTACTATTATCTCTACTATTTATCTCTATATTTATTAATTGATTTCTTCGTCTTTTTGTTAAATATCGAATATCCTTAGGCATGATGCACTTTTCTGATACCTGTAAAAATAGTGATCGTCAAATAAGCAATTAGTCGAAAATGTATAAAAATCACTGAGTTCGCGCATCGGCAAAAATCTTAATCTTACCCAATTTTCGCGTCACTGCTGTTGTTGTCGTCGCGGCTTTGGTAGTTATTGTTGTCTTTGTGACAGTGGTTTTACCGCTGGTGCTTGAGATCGCCGCTTTGGTTGATCCGTCCAGTTGCTTGGGACGAGTTGCGGAAGACCAGTAGGGAAGGCCGTCGCGCGTTCCGAAGGAAGGCACGCCGCACGGACGGACGGCAGAGAGATTTGAGTCGCTGAGCGAGAAATACGAAAAGTAATTAGGAGAGAGAGAATCATAAGTGCGTGCGAGATATAGATATAGAGATAGATCGGTCGAATAGCCTTGCGATAGATTAACGAGGGAATGTTCCCGGACTATATATGTACATTTATAAAATAAAGAACTATATTGAATCACAAGATCTTATAATATTTAGGCAATCAAATATCCACGAAACCAAGAATATATAAAAATGTTAGTGGGAAAAAGAAATCGATATCGAAATATCTCAGTCCTTCGCTCGAGAAAAGCAAGACGCACACTTACTAGTCTCTGACGAAAAGGACGACGAAGAGGACGTCGACGCCAGGAGACGTTCGGTGGAAGAGACGATGTAGCGCGGCGTCTCAGTACTGGATAGCCTGCCGTCGTGCGCGGGCCGTCGTGACGATCCGGCCAGGTATCGATCACTGGAGAACTCGTAGCGGTTTTTTTCGCAGCCGATTGTGCTGGTGATGTCGTAGTTGCTCGACGATAGCTCCCACCGATGCTTCTGCGATTCCTGTAACCTCTCTTCTTTCGATTTGTCTATCGCCGCAGTATCTTTTGGTGATGTTTTTGCGGTTTCTCGTGGCTCAGTTTCTCCTTCTTTCGAAGGAATACTTTCGGAAGCGACACTTACGTTGCTTGTTGGATCTGATTAATATGATCCGCGGATCCGCGAGCGCGCGACCGTCCCGGCCGAAACGTGATGGAATACTTCCTAACCTCTGTCACCATGCATAGCATGGCAATGGGCGCGTTCAGCAGATTGTTGAGTTCGTGCTGTTAGCACTCTGCATTGATTGGTTGAATTATTGATACAGAAAATATATTTTGATATTCGTATTAGTCAAATCGATTTTTACAAAAAAAATAATAAATAGATATTTATATTTATTATTTATATAGATTTAAAATATATAAATAAAACCGCGGCGTCTTAGAATAATTGTGTATACGTACAATTCTAAAATAAACCAAAATATATGTATTTTAATAACTTAAAACATAATTAAGACAAATTAATAAAAGCGAGTCAATGCCGGTCAGAGTCCGAATTCTATTATTTCAAGACCGTCTTAAGTATGTTTTGTGTTATTGTTAATATACATATTTTGGCTTATTTTATAATTGTACGTACAATATAATATTTTAAGACGCCGCGCGGTCTTGTTTATATAACTTATATTTATATAAATATTAAATCGTATAGATATCAATATATTGCACGTTTTGTCAGTATATATCTCTGAACGTGTTGTGTTGACGTTATATTGTTGTTATTGTAGTGTCACCAATAAATAACAGAGCAATATAACTATTACAAAACACAGTTATATTACTGCTACAAAAAAGATTACATAACTGCTTTATATATATTACATTACTATAGTTATATTACATGTTACTTCTGTGTTATATAATGGTTATAGTTTGTGTTTGCTGGGAGTGGTGCCAATGCAATTGATTTCTGTGCTATAGATTTGCAACTACCACAGTTTCAAAATTCAGCAGCAACATCATTATTTCTTCTTAATATAAATAACATATTTGACTTACTCAATAGTCGAAATCTTCTATGTAAAAATAAAAGTCAAGAACCAATATCATTGATCAATATCGACCGTATTAAAGAGGATATTCAGAAATATATAGATTATTTAAATAACTTATTTATCGATGGAGTGAACATTATGAATACAAAGAAAAAGACTGGCTTTTTAGGTATGTTAATATGTTTAATATGTATAAAAAATATATCAAATGAATTGATTACAACAAAGAAAATGAAATTTCTACTTACGTACAAAATGTCTCAAGATCATATCGAGATGTTCTTCTCAGCTATAAGAGGTAAAGGTGGACATAATAATAATCCTTCAGCTAAACAATTTAGTCATGCTTACAGACGACTCTTGCACCATACACAGCTAACAATATTACCACATGGTAATACTACTGCGCAAGATGATACTGCTATATTAAATGTTACACACCTCAATAATATTGTCAAATAGATAATATTGTCAACGAATTCATGGAATTAGAGGAAAAAAATGAGGACGAAATTTCAGATGAAGCATTTATTACTGAAAATTGGTGCACATCAAATTATATAAAAGATAATAAATTTCTTTCGCCAGTAAATAGAATAACAATTAAAGTAATTTAAATCGACCGTGACTTTCTTATTCTGAAATTTATTATTCTGTTTATTATACACCGTCGACCTAGTAATCGGTGCTCCATCTTATAGTTGTTATTGCGATAAATATTACCACAGCCTCAGTGGTCGAATTGGCACGACACCCGCACGGTATACGGGAGGTTCCAGGTTCAAACCCTGGCTGGGGTAATATTTTTCGCAATAAAATTTAAAAACTATTTAATTTAAAAATTACATCAACTGACCAAAACCATGGTCAAAATTAATAATGTCTCGATGATTGATCCGAAAAAGTGCTGTGTGAATCCGACAAACCAAGTTGGCTCACAGTTTTTCAATGTTCATATCGAAAAAGACGTTACATATTGCCAGTCACGGTCGATTTAAATTACTTTAATTGTTATATAAAAGATGTTGTAGCCTACATTTCTGGTTTTGTTGCTAGAAAAGTTATAAAAAAGATATATTGTGCTATTTGCAAAAAATTATTAATTGGAACCGATAATATGTCTGCATTACAGGAAAGAAAATATAGAGGAAGATTAATAAAAGCATCAAACGATGTTATAACATTATGTTACATTGCAGAGAAAGTAATAAGAGGAAATTCAAACGTCATAAATAAAAAACATCCTGCTGAAAGATTAATAATAATTGCTTTATCACATGTATCATCTAATATATTTGATAATGTATTGCATATGTTGGAACAGGCTCCACTTCAAGATCACAGGACAGATTTGATAAAACTTTATATTGTATGCATATTTTCAGTTACGATTGCGGCATATATGTACATCAAAAAACTATAAAATACAAAGGGGGGATCAAAAGTAAATTTACAAAATTTACAAAATTAATAATTTTTAGGAATCAATAAATAAAAGAATTTTTAATATTTTTATTTTGTGTTACAGTCTTTATATAACCTATTTTCTATTAATATTTGATTTATTAATATTTTATTTTCTAATCTATTTTTATTTATTTTACATATTTATTCTATATATTTTCTAAAATATTAATAGCAAGACCACCTTTTTATCTTTATGTTTATATTTATTTCATACATTTTATATACGTCTCTGTTTATATATTTTGTACCTTGTATACTCACACACATTTTATTTTATATTTATTATACATTTCTCATACATTTCACGTTTTTCTTTTAAATATTTTTCTGTATACATACACTTAACCTATAACACTTAACAGCGGTAAAATCAATATGGCGACTCTTGACAACCGCTCTAAGTTGAAGTGAAAAAGCAGTAGACACAAAACAGCTTTCTCACTCTGTCCTAAACTGCTAACTTCCGGCTTCACGTCGTAGACGGAATGCTCATGGTCTATATTATATATGTCGTTGCTCGATGTAGATGTAGTAGATAGGGATAGCGTAACGGAAGGTAAGGTGGAGGATGGGAAAAGGAATAGTTTGGAAACCCCGGTTTTTAGATTCTTGTCTGCGGAGGGGATAGGTATGAGAGGGAGGAGATTGAAACAACCTGGCTTCGAAGCGCGGATCTAGCTCGCGGCGGGCCTGGGTTCGAAGAAGGTGCGGAGAAGCAGGGTGGCGAGGTTAGCAAAATGAAGGCGTGTCTCGGTTAACAGAAAATAGTAAAATTTATTCTATAACAATATACACTCGCGACATTTACAACGGGTCAATACGTGTGTACCGCTTTAGCTGGATTCGCTCGCACGTGCCCGCGCGGTTTCCGACGGTTGGGCGTGCGTGTGAGGCGACGTTGGTGTAGTCGCGGGCGGCGCGGGGCGACCCGCGGTATGTGCGGGGCGGAGCCGGTGCTTTCGTAGCCTCGTGGACCGAATCGCGTGGTGGTAGGTATCGGTACGGGCGGCGCCGGTTTCCTTGTCGGCGCGGCCCGGAGCGCGGAAAAATGGCGCGAAACGCGGCGGCGATATGGATCGCGAAGCGTGGGTAACGCGGCTGAAGCGGGCCGTCGGCCGAGACACACTCGGCGAAGACAGAAAATGCCGGAGGCGCTCCACCTTCTTGTCCGGACAGGCTTCGGATGATTTAGATAATAGAGAGAAGCTGGTCGTTAGCCGAGACGCACTCGGCGAAGACAGAGAATGCCGGAGGCGCTCTACCTTACGTTCGGACTGACTTAGTGCGGGATTTCAGGATCGGTGTTGTCGGGAAGACGGATGATCGGGAATCGCGCTCTGTGCCAGCGACGCCGGGCTTATATACGCGTCGCGGCGGCGTCGCGGCGGCGTCGCGGCGTGGTGGAGGTAGCGACGGTGATCGCGAGTGCCGGGACGGTGCGGCGGAACGATCGGTGGTTACGGCGTCCCGACGCTGCGATCGCGTTCGGCGGTGTTCGGCCGCCTTCGGCACCGCTCGGCGCGGTGAGGCGGTTGCCGCGTTAAGTCCGTTCGCGGACTTCCTAACATTACATGTTAAAACGGTTAAAAATATGCTGGACACACCGTGCCCGTTCTTCACCTTTGCGGGTGGTCAGCTGGGTGGTCTCGGCGTGGTGTTTCTGCCGGAACGATGCATATTTGGGGGTGCATCGTTACAAGATCAAACAGGGAAATATTAAAGAAGGGTATCCCTAAGGGATACATAAAGAAGTGGCTTGGCCAGGGGGGAGGGGTGGTAGACATGACACGCGGAGTTAGAAACAAAAGAAAGACAGCATCAGAGGGGGATGGTAGTGACCGAGATGAGACTGACTCCGACTTGGGGTTGGTGTTCGAATTTGAAGGAACATGGATGGACAGAATGAACAGACAATAAAGCATTATTACAGAGTTGCAGAAAATCCTAGGGGGGGGGGGGGTGCAAGAGGAGGTGGCAAAGCTATAAAGAGAGAGAAGGTAAATGAGATTGAGAGACTGGAGAAGAAGATGAAGATGGAAAGACATGAGTTAAGGGAGGAGATGAAAAGGAAAGAGACAAAGTGGGAAGAGGAGAAAAAGCTGCTATGGGAGAAGATTCTCAAACTAGAGAATAGTGAGACTAGAGAGGTGGAAATGGAGGTAATAGAGGGGAGTAAAGAGGAAAAAAAATCTCACTCTTGGAGTGAGATAGTGAAGAGAGGAAAGAAGACGAAGACAGGAGTAAAGGAGACAGCTCTGGAAGCCAAAGTGCAGGAGCTAATGGATTGGAAACAGAAGAATCAGGAGCAGAAAAGAGAAGTTTGAGGATCAGTGGCCTGAAATGGGACGGTAAAAATCCGCTGCAGATAGCAAAGAAGTTTCTCCAGGAGAAGTTTAGTCTGGGCCATTTCGAGGACGCTTCGTGGGAAGGAAAGTCAAGAGAAGAGGCGAGACTGGGTGTTCAAGTGAGGGACCTGGCAGCAAAGATGGAGATACTAAGAAGGAAGAAGGAGTTAGGGAAGGAGCCGATTTTCTTGGATAAATTGTTATCCAAGGAGGAGGAGGAAATTCAATGGAGACTGAGAGGCATCGCAAGGGTAGTTATAGGATGGAGGGAGCATACCAATGTCAAATTCCCTTACAGAAAAGTATTACTGACTAAATATTTAAA